TTATATTACTTCAAGAACATTTGTATTGTTGAACTGTATTGCTAAGATATCTTGTCAATAAAGCACACGCTGGTCCATTGTGTCCAATAGGCACCCAGCAAGAGTCACACTCCATTTATGTCGTTGTGTTTTCATTCGCGATTTGCGCGCTGTGCGAAGGGTAGTAATGAATAATTATCGCCAGATCTCATTAACATCAATAGTGAGCAAGATCGCGGAGAAAATAGTTAAGTCTCGAGTGATGGATTTTTGGCGAAACATAAATATCCTCAACCCGAGCCAGTTCGCTTACATGAAGGGCCGATCAACGCTTTCGGAGCTTCTTCTTGTTACGACGATTGGGCGCAATCACGCAACAACAGAAAGTCAACTGACATCGCCTTTTTGGATTTTTCCAAGGCATTTGACAGCGTACCGCATGAGCGTCTTCTTTGCAAGCTTGAGCGTCACGGTATCGACGGCAGTGCTCTCCAGTGGTTTTGTAATTTTTTAACCGGTCGGATGCAACGCGTCGTCCTGCGTGGTACTTGCTCGTCCTGGTCTCCAGTTTTATCTGGAGTACCCCAAGGAACAATCCTCGGACCCGCCTTATTCATTTTATACGTGAATGACATCTCGTCAGGTATTTCATCAACGGTTAAACTGTATGCAGATGATACCAAGGTTTACAGAGAAATCTCCGACATAGCTAGAGACACAAGCATCCTTCAGTCCGACTTATTCCACCTTAGAAATTGGTCTGAGGTCTGGAAGTTAAACTTCAATGCGAAGAAATGTGAAATTATGCAAGTTACACATAATCGTGATAAATCTGTCCCACATTACTCCCTCGTCCTGCTTAGAGAACGTCTAAGCTCAGTGAGTACTGTAAAGGACCTCGGCATCACAATCTCGCATGACCTCTCGTGGTCTTTACACGTTGTTGAGGTTGTCAATAAGGCCAATAAAGTTCTTGGTCTAATCAAGCGAACAATCGGTTCTGTAAACAAGGAAATCTTTTCCACACTGTACAAGGCTCTTGTGAGACCAATCCTCGAGTACGCTTCCCCTGAATGGTGCCCTTAGCTAGTTAAGAATATTGTTCTCTTAGAGAAAGTTCAGAGAAGAGCTTCTCGATTGGCCTTAGGTCAGCGAAGGGGAGAGATGTCATACGAAGATCGCCGCGAAATGTTACGGTGGTCGCAGTTGACTGATAGAAGGCTATATTTTTCTTTGATTGAATGCTATAAACTTGTATTCGGATTGAATAGCCTTTGTTTTTCCGATTTTTTTGAGTTCGCTTCAAAACGTACCAGGTCCAATCACAACTACAAACTGCAAGTTAAATCGGCTAACTGCAATTATTATAAATACTCTTTCTTTGTTAAAATTATTCATGAATGGAATGACCTGCCCGCCAGTGTTGTTGAGATAGGAAATTTAAGACGTTTAAAATAGCTCTTAAATCGTACATGCGTATTTCTTAGGTTTTTATTCATCTTAGATCTTAGATTTTATTCATAAGCATATATTTTTAATTTTTATTTTTGGAAGTTTATTTACATAGGGTCAACCTCTTAAAATTCCTTTTTAGGGTATTATTTGTATCGTTTATTTTTTATGATACCTTAAAAAAAGTATGTATGTGTGTTGATAACAGGACTGCAGTGGCTTACTTGTTGAAGATGGGGGGAAACGCGATCCCTTTTATTGCTAGGGACAGCCCAGGAACTGTGGGACTATGCATTAAACAAGCAGATAACAGTGACTGCAGAATTTCTGCCTGAGGATTTGAACCACGAAGCAGATTGGCAGTCAAGAAATTTCCGGGATTCAAGCAACTGGAAACTAAATAGTACCGTTTTCCAGTCACTAAATCATCAGTGGGTTCCCCTGACAATAGATCTGTTTGCAGATCGCATGAATACTCAGCTTCAGATCTATATCAGCTGGTTTCCAAACCCATTTGCGCAAGGGACGGATGCCTTTCAGATCACTTGGTCGAACCTTAGAGGTTACAGTTTTTCTCCTTTCTCAATGATATGTCGCTGTCTGGCAAAGATTCGAAAGGTTCACGCAATGATTGTTCTCATAACACCAACATGGCACGCACATCACGTTCTGTATGTAAGTGAAGGGTCCAACCATGTGACAGCTGCTTGAAAGAAAGATTTCTTTCCTTAATTGTTTGTTTGTTTTATCCGCATTTCTCGTTTTTTTTTTTCTTCTTACTTTTTTGTTATCCGCATTTTTCTATCCTCATTTTCCCATCCTCATCTGCCGTCCGCAGGTATCCGGTCCTCGTTTTACAGACACCCTGAGGCGTACTGTTCTATTACCGTTGATGGCCAATCAGATTTGACAATTTTGCTAAGGCTATGATTAATTCGAAAATCAATTGTTTTACTGACAAGAGGAAAAATACTCCAGTAGCAGCGACAACAAACTTTAGTCACGATTCGAGTCTCTGATCCGGTCGGAAATTGAGATCATCTCAGATTTTCTCCTCGACAAACTATTGTCATAATAAAACTTTCTTCTAATACTCAAAATTTAGATATATGATGAGTTAATTTTCTTTTAATATTTTGAGATTTGGTACTGGTCATCAACCAGTTGTACAACAGAATCCGATAATCCCTGCTCTATTGTACATAGGCATTGATAATGGATCCCTTGGGTCCGCTTGTCGTTTAATTAGGAAGGCACAATAAAAATTTTGGCATAATTAAAACACCACAACATAAATAAAACAAGTAAAGAATAATTGTTTGAACAATGTTTTCACGCGCATACCTGCAAAGTTGCCGTAGCTCTGTTTCTGGACTAATACACGTCGAAGGTAAGATTGAATTTCTTTCTCACATTCCTTGACTATTACGTTTAAGAAATCGTGATTTTTCAAACATCCCTGAGTTGGTATTTCACAGCAATTTTTTGTGATCGATGTACGGAGTTCATTCTTTGCTCTCCAACGTGGTAGTGAGGGTTTCGCCGCGTCCAGACATATCTGGTACCAATTTGTTCGTAGCCTTTTCAGCGGTTTCACCCTCCTACACCTTCTGGTTTAAGAAAAACTCAGTGTATTGCGTTTTTAAGTACATTCGAACAACTATTCTTGAAACAAAGGCTGAGTTATTTGTGACTGCTATAGTGTCATTTTCTATGCACTAGTGATTTGGAATTAAATACACTGCTTTAGCCAGTCTGACATACGCTGTAACTATTTAAAACAACCGAGGTTTCTTTAAGATGTTTCCACCAAGCGCATTTTGGGTACTTCCCGTGTTAATACTTCATCAAAATACTAGTCAAAATGAAACTTGCTTTCCATGCGATGGATGAACTCCAGCGATATATTTTAGTAATAAACTCTGTTTCAACACAGAGAAAGATTTGAGCAAAGAGATAATCTTAAAGAAAAAGCAGGCCGTTTTCGTTGATCTCGTCTTTTTTAACGCGCGGTTTCCATCTCTCAAGAGTGATCTTGTTGTCTGACAATTCTGAAAAAATGTAACTTCTATCGTCGGTATTTTGCTTTTGCGAGACAAATATTTCGCATTCTTTGCTCGATATCTGTAGTTATTAATCAGTCTGATTTTTGAAGCAAACTTTGTTGGGGTATATGGATGATAATTATTTTAAGATACGCTCATAAAACCCTGTCTGTAAAACATGAAAACCCTTTCGAGCCACCCTAGTATTTTACCTGTAAGTTATGACAGCCTACAGTGGATATCGTGTTCAGTTGTAATCGTCGAGTCTGTGCTTTGGCGGCCTGTAAACAATAGCAACAATTATATTTTTTTCTCGAGGTCTTATTAATTCGATGAACAGCGATTCTACAATATCAACATTATGGAGGGACAAATCTCCTCGAAGCTTGAACTCTAGATCGTTTGAAAACCCACCCCACCTCCAGTTCTATTTTGCCTATACTTGTGAAGAAATTTGAAACCACTAATATCGACCGAATGAGAGAGAATCGTTTAGCCAGGTCTCAGAAATTCCGATTACAGAAAATTTTATGTTTAAGCATGATAGATAGTCAGTCAGCTTTACTAAATTACGAGGAAGACTACGAATATTAAGATGTAGGCAAGAGAGATCGGCATCAGAATAATTTTCGCGTCTGAGCATTTCGTTAAATTGATTTTCAATAAAATAGTAGCAGGGTGTCTCATCTCATGTCAGGATCAAGACTGCCAGACTGTGTCAAAGAAGCGTTTGAGTTTGAAAAAATTGGATTGTAACGTAAGCTAGAAAATCTACCAGGATGAAAGTGAACAGGACCATTCTGAAGTTCATATAGCGCCAGAGAAAAGCTAGAATCGTCTAAATGATTAAAGGGCAGTACATGTGATAGCGAGTATTGTGTCACTGTCATTTTAAGTTAACAGTAAAGTAACTAATTAACTTATCTGACTTAACCACGTCTGTCCTTTACAATCAACTTGTCCAATACAAAGTACGTTACTTTTCCATTCCGCTTTGCTTCCTCCAGCTTGAGTCTCTGCTCTTCACGCTTATCTAGGGTCTCTTTAGCAAGGCCTTCATTTACGTATAAACCGACAGGTTTAATTCTTCTTGTCATCTTCAATATTTGCTCCTTTTGCTTAAAATCTCGAAGCTTGCACACAATTGTGCAAGGGCGTCTTCTAGGGCCAGAAACAACCCTACCGACACGATCGATGAGCACGTTTGATGTGGAGCGCTTCTTCAAGGTTGAGCTTGTCCGCTAGAACTTGTTTGACTTTTTCCTCTGTAGTGTCCCACGATTCGTTTTCTTCTTCTAAGATCCCATCAATTCTGATGTTGTTTCTTCTACTCTGATTCTCCAAATATTCTAATTTGTCCATATTGTTGATTTGCGTCCGCAAATCTCTTTGTTTAAGTTTTGAGTAGGTCGAAAACCTTGTGTCTCCTTAAATTATAAGTTGGCCTGCGGCACTTTTTTGGTAACAAACTATGAATCTTATTGGATGGTCTGTTAACAACTGATTAAAAAAGCTGATTGGTGGATGGACTCTCATGCAGTCGATGCCAGCGATACTTAAAGCGTCGTTGGACGAAATCCCAGGGAAGATACACGAGAGGGCTCTCTTTTGAACTCTCTCAAGTTCGAAATGCAGGTAAGTCAGGTACTTGGGTAACGCATAATGAAAAACTGGGCGTGGATAATCTAAGGATGATCTAATACATGCGCATTAGTACTCTACGAGATCGTCAGAAGAGACCTTTGCACGTTTCAGTTGGACAAGAAAGCCGAGAGTTTTTGAGATACTTTCTTTACGGTTTCGGGCTCAATGTGGTCGTTTCAAGAGCCAATGGCTCAAGCGTTTAATTGGTCTTGAAATAACTTTGGTGAAATTCACATATCCCAAGGGCTCAATAGACTGGGCGTTCTCGTTTCTGTCCCATTATGGTTCTTGGTCGTTCCAAGTTAAGTTAGAATAGATCAAAACGCCAAGTATAGTAGCTTTGCGCACTGAACTGATTCGATAGAATTTCCATGTCCATGGGAACAGCGGACATTGACGACTGGAACTGATGGTAAGTTCCTTGTCTTGTCGCAGTTTACCTCAAACAGATTTATGTTTAGGCCAGTCATGTATTAGGTCCACAAGATCTTGGGCCAGGCTCTAGCTGATGATCTTTGGGTATGGTCTCCGATACCGTGGTGTCATCAACGTATTTCCACATGTTGAAGATGCTGGGGACAGACAAGTCAAGTCAAGCCCAGGGGCCAACTTGGTCCCCTGGAGCACTCCAGATGGTACTTTACCCCACTCGGAGAGACAGTTTTGTTGAGTTTAACTCTCTGGGATCTGTCTGAAACGAAGTCGATAATCCAATTGATGCTAATATTAGGAACCTTGATCTGTTTCAATTTCGTGACTAAGAAACTATGATCTATTAAATCAAAAGCTTTGCAGTGGTCGGAAAGGAATACCCGGACTGTAGCACCTGGGCCATCTGTTGCTTCAAGCCACTTATACACCATAGTAATAAGTACCAGCACAGTGGAAGAACCAGATATGTTGCCAAACTGATTTTGATCGACCACTCTCTTGAAAGCCTGTTTGATGCAGTCAGAGACTAAAAAATCCTCAGCAATTTTAGAGAAGGCTGAAGTTAGAGAAATCGGTCAAAGCTCTTTCTTAGGGTCTAAGACTTGCTTGACCTTTGAAAGAGGGGTTATATCCACAAACTTCCACACAGAGGGTAACTTTTGTTCCATGAATGAAGAATTCAAAATGACACCGACAGGTTGCGCTACGAGTTCTGCGTACTCCTTTAGCAACCAGGTTTAACATTCCATCCGGGCCAAGAGCTTTGTGCTTGTTTAGATATTTCAGATTATTATACACCCGCTGAGATGGCAACTCAAGGAACTCTGGGTTCTCTTCCAAAGGCAAAGAAACAGCCGTAGACTCCAAGGGTTCATAGGATTGTAACGGTTCCAAAAGAGCGACATGATGGCATTAGCGATCTTAGAGGGAGGGGGTCAGTAAAGGCAGAGTACTTGGCATGTTAAGAGAGGAAAACAAACTTGAATTCTGTTTCTTGGACCCACAAAGCTTGCGCACTTCGTTCCACCACTGATGTAGCATGGGCTTATTCCATTAAGGTCGTGCACCTGTGCACAAGTGTAATACTTTGCTTTACATCGTTTAAGTAAGTCCCGTACATTAAAACGGACCTTGCTCCTCTTATACGGCAAAACCATTGTATGGGACCCCTGTGGTATACTGAATATGATATGCCGTCCATCCAAATTTTAAATAAGAACAAAACTATTCGCCAAATGGATATCTCCCACAATACACTTTGTTTGCCCCCCAAAATTTTGCCTAAGCAAATTAATTTTCCCGAGAAGACTGCAAAACCCAAGAGAAATTAAAAACAATGTTTATGCAAAATTTTGGAGGTAAGCAAGGTGTATTATGGTTGATGTTGATGTAGGTGTATTATGGTTCGTTAAAAGCATTCCCGAGTAAGACCTACGGAGCGCAATTTAAATTATTCATGAGTTAATTTAATACGAAGAAGAGCTGTCATGTAGGAAATAACTGTGTGTACGCTTGTAGCTGAACCAAGGGCAAAGGTAAGAATAATGGCTAGCTTATTCTGTAAAAAGGTAAATTAAACAGGAGATTTTCAATTAGTCGGGGCAAGAAGGATAGATTTTGACTTTGAGGTAGCAACGAGAGCCCGAAACAAAAACAAAACACTCGCCATTTCATTATAAAAATTAACAAGCGTTCTATTTCCCGAAGAAAAGTAATAAATTCTGTGGTACCTTGTTCGTCATTTTCTTTACGTTTTATTCTAGAAGTTATTTTGTAGACCGTACTAAAGCAATACAAAGACGTATTATATTCTCTGATAAAGTTAAAATTAACGGTGCCTAAGATTAAAATTAAGTGATTATCTAATTTCCAAAGCTGTACTCTACTGATCTGATTATAGCCCACACAAGTAATGTTTCTAAAAACTGTCCCAAATTTAAATGCGACTTATAGTACAATCTATAACAGTTCTTTCAGATCAGTTCTTTCATATTAATCGTAACGAATGAGACAAAAAAAAAAGAAAAAACATTTTACTATACGGCGTCACACGCGCTTCTCGTGGAGCATATAGGAAGGTTTAGATTTTATAAAGTACTATGATCCGCTCCTTGTCTGTGCATGTAACAAGCAAAAATAGATAAATATCTGCCCTTTTTATTAGATTAAGTTACTCATGATCATAATTCTAGCTCTGTAATTTTCACGGATTTACAACAGTTCGTTCTTGAACCTCTAGACATCTCTCCCCAGCATGTAAGTTAGCAATCTCTCATAAATTTCAAGCGTTTATTACATTATACAATGTCATTTACATGTTGGGGTAACAGATCCACATAATTTTAATAAATACTGTGTGCTTCCCTTATAATCATAATACTGTTAGCTTACCGCGGCGGCTAGACTGAATCCGTGCGGTCCTTTTTATTTTACATTGCTCAATATTGTGTATTTGTTTATCAATATGCGGTCAAGATGGACAAAGCCACGTAACCTGAAAACAGATGCTTGATGCTTTCAAACTTTTCTTCTTCTCTGGCAAATTACCAGATCATAAATTAGCAAGAAGTTAGGTCCCTTGGCTGTTAAAAAAAAAAACCAGTGTCCACTCACGAACGGATACCGGTTCTAATTGAATTGATTTACTCACACTCCAAATGTCTAAAGGTAAGAACGACAATCAGATTCCAATTTAACTGCGGTATTCTTTGCTCGCTAGTCACCATCCAAATCCACAATCCCTGCAAATGATGATAATCCATGCTGCGTTCCTCATCATTTACAAACTTTTGCGATTAATTAAATAATTCGCTTTTTTATTCGCCACCAAGAAAGTCAACTCACGGCAAAAAAAGCAAACCGACAAACGCCGTTTGAAGCAAGTCAAGCCATTTTCTGCTCAATATCTGAGCAAAAAGAACCAAAAGCTTTATTACTACCCCCAATTAAGTCGGACACCTTTATTAAGCGGACGCGGACACTAAAATTAATTGTATTTGGCTAATTTCCATTGTAAGAAAAAGCTGAACTAGACTGAATTGACAGTAGCAGTGTCGGATCCAGGGGAGGGGCCCGGGGGGCCCACTCCCCCCTTATGTTTGGACCAAGCTGAGGCCCGAAGGGCCGAAAAAAATTTTTTTTAGGGGGGGGCTTACGTTCTTGAAATACGTACTGTAGTCGATTAATAAAGATAAATTAATACATTTAGCTGTCAGTAAACTGTAGATTACATCGATATCCGGCCGTATGATTGTCATCTGCGATGAAAGTTCACTTAAAAGTCTTATACAAAAACAATACAGCTTCCTTAGCTTCCTTAACAACATGCAACTTTATCACAGTAAAGTAAGCGTTGAATATTAATTTTTACAAACCTTTATTAAGTGGACTCCCTCTATTAAGAGGACACTTGGGAAGGTCCCGAAGGTGTCCGCTTAATAGAGGCTTAACTGTACTTGAAACGATATTTGGTATGTCGAAAAATTCTCCCAAAAGTTGTGGCATGCGCAGAAGCAAAATTTGGACAACAAAGTCTCACGTCCCCCTCGACTTTTGCCTTTCATTTTCCCTCCTCCTCGTTTATTCCATTTTCGTTCCTTTTTTTTCTGAACATTTACTAAGCTTTATTTATATATTTGCTTGTCTTATTTTTAGAAATATCTCTTTCCACAACAACTGTTTCCTATTTTGTGTGAGGGAAACAATGGTGTCGCGATGACGCATGTGCAAATCTTTGGCTGCTACTGAATGCTGTAAACGGTGTTCATACATTCCTTTTTTTTGGTTCTTTGATTTATCCACTATCTGTCGGTTTTTTCTCCATCCTCCACAGTATATAAAGTAGCAAAATCATCAGCAGGGCTGGCTTTTCGTTTCATCGCCGCCAAGTTCGTTTATCAATTCTTGCACTGTAGTCACGTGACATTTCTCTCAGAAAGCTTTTCTCGTTTGTGAGATCTTTTTTAAAAGAAAAATCCGGCCTATTTCACGAGTTCTGTTTATCTGTGAATAGTAGAGGGTGGACAGCTGTTCTATCATATCAACCATCCTGATGTACAGGTGGTAATCATTCTCCAGATTCAACTGCAGAGGCGCTTATTCTCTTTACGGCACAGTTATAAAGGACTAATGCATGGTCTTTACAGAGTGATTGGTAAAATATGAGTGCCAGATCTGAAAGTTCTTTTTGTGAAATCTAGGTGTTCATTTTCATAAGTTCCTTGTTTAAAAAGTCCAGCGGAGGGAGTTAAAGGGAAAGCTGTATGCAAATGACAATTGTGACTTTCAGCGCTGTTTTCCATATCAAAATTTACAGACACTAGATAAATAACTATTTCAGTCTTGTATGTTTCCGTTAAGAATTGTTTATCAGTTTTATAATATTTACATATATTGAGACACAACTCAGTGAAAAAACAAACTTCGCCGAGTTTTTTTCCTACAATCTTGTTCTTTTTAAAGCGTGACAAGAGAAACGAAACAAAGAAATGCCGGTCAACGACAACAAGTACTCGGCACAGCTCGCTTATAACTCGGCTTTAAGTCATCTAAACGCAAAATGCACAATCTTTAAAGATAACTAAGAACAGCAACAGTTTTTGATAAAGTAGTTACACAAATGCTAGCCTTCGAGCAAGCTGCCCCTCGCGACTTCGCCGCTCGCTCGCGCGTTCTCGTGAGACTCGCTTCGCTCGCCCAAAGAGGAGAGCTTGCTCGCAGGCTACACAAATGCAGGAATTTGCAAAACAACACTTTGACTTGGTCGACTGCGAGAAAATGTTCAATCTTGTTTAGGCTTTCCTCGCTATATTACAGTCATGTTTCAATACACCTCGTTGGGTAACACGTTTGCTGACTCCGCCAAGAGACCTTGTCTCGTATAAAATCACTTTTGGGATTTACAAACACAAGTATAACGCTCCACATTGTTTGCCGTCAGTCTGCCGCTTGTACTTGAACTTGGTTGTTTCATGTCCTTGAAATTATTGTTTAAGTATCTGGCCTTTAGCGCGAATATCCACGGCCTCTTTTCGTAACACTGGAAGCGTTAACGGTGACTCGTTCATGGTTTTCTCAAGCTTTCTTGCCATACTCCCTCTCGTCACATTGGTAGGGCCTCGCATCCTGCCGGTCCCCCTTTAAGTTATGTTTGGGATTTGAAAGGCGCGTTTGTAAGGCCAGCTGCCACAGTACTTCATGGAATATAGTAAAGCTCGTTTTATATTTACAAAAGGCGCCATTAGCAGAGGTGGTGTACTCCCCGGCAAGCTTTTCACTACCTACTTACTTGGTACCGGTTTGCTCTTTAGGCCCCGTTTATATGAAAAAAGTCAGTTGTTTCGTTGAAGGCGGGTCATTCGGCGGCTACCCAAGCTACCCTGGGGGGCGAGTTAACGTTTCATCTATATAATTACAAAACGTGGCGAACCGTTAACATGAGAAATAAAAAGCTGGCTCCGAAAAAAGGGCTACCCCCCCTAGCCAGGCAGCTTTTTCCCTAGAAACAGTTTGGCTCACCCAGACGAGTCAAGACTCGGTCAAGGCAAGATAATCAACTCGGTCAAGGCAACATAATCAGAGCAAGTGCTCGGGCAAAGGGGTCTTAGCAACAATGAAGCTTGTAACTAACATATATTACAGAAACGTAACATAACATAAGAACTTTATTTAAGCGTCAAATGTATTTGCTGTGCAAAATATAAGACAGCTAATTGGGGACACTAAGGTGAACGTAGTCCTGAATAGGACTGTTGTTGTTGACAGTGACTGACGTTTCGACAACCTGTCCGGTAGTTATCTTCAGGGTCAAAGTGAGTTGTATCACGTCAGTTGATGGTATTAAACTCTGGTTATTGACCTACTACTTTGCGTATTCTTGCATTTCTTCCGTTCAGTGTGTTAGAAATTCAGCGATTTAGTCTTCGGATAGCCGAAAAAGCCATTTTATTTTTTAGTTCACCCGAGGGGTTGGGAGAATTCTCGACAGTTAAGTAAACCCTCGACTTCGTCTCGGTTTGACATAACCATCGAGAATTCTCCTAACAACCTCTAGTGTTTAAATCTGTCTATGCAAACACGGAGAACGTTTTCCATTGCTTAATAGTTCTTACAACCAAAAAAAGCGAAGCATGAAATATAATTACGTCGGCCGTGCAGGGTATCAGTTTTCCTGAGCTAATGAGCTAACCCCGGGTTGTGTAAAATATTCCTTTTCCATTTTCTTCTATTCATTGTAATCTGTTTGAATAAGAAGTAAGTGGGAAATTTTCAGTAAGGAACTAAAACTAGGCTGATTAGTGATATAAATGCAACAGAAAAATAAATCACCTTTCGAAATCATCATTATAATATGGTGATATTTAATCAAGGTACATAAGTTTCATGATAATTGAAAAAATTTAAAACAAAAGTCGTATTCAAATCACGTGACCTACAAATAAGAAAACTAAACTGGTTTGATGCAGGGAAGAGTAAGCCGTCAAGACATCAAAATTTATTGAATAAAAAAGATTATAGAGCTAGAAAAACAAAAATGCAGGATTGCCTTTGCATCAGGATGTACTTAAGCGGAGAACACAGCACATTAAATTTGATTCTGGTATCAGCACAAAATTAAAAAATGTCAGAATTCTGCCAAAATTTTTGTTAGTTTTCATGTTTTGTTTAGTAGATCCACTAGCGGAAATATATCCAAGGCTTCAAGCGCCTTCAACTGCTGTTACATTCTGCAACCAAATAACCAAATAAAGCATTTATTTCTCATTAAGTTTGTTGGGCTCTTTACAGAAAAGAAACCAGTGAGAATTGACTGAGGATATTAATACGAGAGAACGTAAATAGCGTTTCACCGAAAACATTCTCAACGCGAGCTCAGTTAACTGCCAACTTCTGACTAGATCTATTAGCGGAAATTCAGGCGCTCAATCCCACTTTCCAATTTGAAGATAATCATCCCTGCGAAGACACTTCACAGATGTTAAAAGTCATAGCAATTGTTGAGAAAATAATACATTAACCCTCGGTCATACAAGCAAATTCGTACCCCCACAAGGGTACAAGTGGCGGTTTGATGGAACCCCTCCCTAGAGTTTTTGATATGTTGCAGTATTTCGAAACGATTTTGCCTTCAGTGGAAAGCCTTTCATCTTCTCAACAAGATGAGGTGTATTTTATGGGTGGTGGCGCTGCTGGAGGCCTGTGACGTCACCAACTATGGTCGTCATCTTGGATTTTACCAAGAATTAGAACTCACGTTAAATCCGCATGAAATGGTAATTGTTTTGTGCTTGACATGTAGAATAACACATAAATAAGCATTTTGCATCATTTTATCCACAAAGAAGTTAAAAAAAGTTAGCTAAAAAAACAAGCATTCTCACTCAAAAATGGCTTGACCACTTACTACTTATGACAACATATCTCGTAACCATAGCAAATGATCATCACTAAACTTGTCTCAAAATGCGTGCGAGGGATAAACGAACAGCTACTGAAAAAGTCAGGTGCTGATGTTTTATCGTCTAGGGAAAAACTAAGAAAAACCTCAGAGAGGGGCTGCAACAACCCCACTCCCCTCTTGTACTATTAAGATCTCATTAGACCAAATAGACAAACTTTAATTAGCTATGGGGCTCATTGTTATAGCTTCAATCAACATAGTGTTTTTGCTCCGATGTTTGTTTAAGAAAGTAATTAGGAACAGCTAAAGAGCACCCATTACTTTATATTAATACTAGCTAATCCTCATTTCTTGTCTTACAGGACCGAATCGAACTGATTATAATGGCTAACAACACTTCAAATCATAACTCTCCCTCTACGGCTACACATCACATTACCTCTTCTGGAGCAAAGGTATGGTGTGCCACGTTTGCTACCGAAGCTGTCCTCGTGGCCACAGGAAACTTGTTTATCATCACTGTATTTGTCAAATCACGTGAACTGTATAGACGGCCTCAGCACTTTTTTCTCATCAACTTAGCAGTAGCGGATTGCTTAGTCGGTGCATTTGCCGAACCGTTATTTGTGTACATCTTGGGCGGATTCTATAACCTGTGGAGTTTCAAGGCCCAGACTTCCCTTGGCGATGCAGTTGTTCTGCTAGACATGTTTTCTGGGATTTCATCTGTTGCATTTTTAACGGCGATAGCTCTCGAAAGACTGTATGCAACAGTTCGTCCAGCCATCTACAGGAATGGGACAAAAAAATGGTTGTACGCGCTGGTAGCAGTTGCTCTTTGGACTCTATCTGCTGCCATCTCATTCGTAAGACTCATGTTTGGAAACAATTCTGAGTCCTTTTATGTTTGGATGCCGTTCGTGTGTGTTTTACTGCTCCTTATCGGATTAGCCTATTTCATTATTTGGGTCAAATTACTGTATTTCAGTCCCAAACGCCTTCAACACACGCGTGAAAGAAAACTAAACGTAACTTTGACAATTTTAACCCTCACCTCCCTCTCAACATGGTTACCATTCATAATTTTGAATACTGTAAACATGTTCCGGCCGGTCAATCTTCAGGCTGTATACGCCACGAAAGTGTTGCATTATGGAAATTCTCTAGTTAATCCTTTTTTGTTTTCTTTAAAAATGCCGATGTTTAAAAAAGGTGCCAAAAAGATATTCTGTACTCCTAAACGAAATAACGTACAAAATTTTGGCTTTTCTACAAAAAATAGAAGAGATACAAGCTTGCAAAGTAATGAGAAGATACCAAACTTAAAGGTAACTGCGGTTTAAATGAGAGACTGTTCAACCAGTATAGGGTCGGGTGGGTTGAAGCAAGAAAAAGCGGGGCCTGGTCGGTTTTTGAGTGGCCCTCTGTAGGGGGTGAGTCGTTCAATTTTTCAGGTACCATTGAGGAGTTGGTAATCCTATTCTATAACAGGGATTTAAAAGTCTTTGTCGTGAAGTATTTTGAAGGTTATTGCTAGGATTTGTCTTATCTTTTTAGTTTCCAGTTTGTTTCATTGAGTGGGTCAAGGCAAGTCCGGATTTTGTCCACACGAGTGTTTTATTCATGAGATAAGGCACAGACGTCAGTCATCGGCGTTAATGTATTCTTGCGAACGTTTTATAATGAGATTAGGCCTAAAACTTCTCTTATACTACTATACTTGCCATAACTAGTCTTAACTTTTGGGCGAATCAAATTATGCTTTTTCTTTCTTGTATTCACATTGTGAATGTTACCAAAAAGGTCTTTTGTTTCGAATTTTGCTCTGAGTTTTGGAATTTTCTATACTAAATTATGAATGTTGTTAGACCTTGTTAGCATTGCTCTGATGTAATATGGCGCGAGATGGATGGGTGCCTAAAAACTAAGATACTCTGTAAGTACTCCAGTCTTTTATCAAATGGCAGGATATTAAGTTATACATACGTACATACGTACATACATACATACATATTAATAATCACAGGAGTTCAGGCCTCAGGAGTAATCATCGATCATTTATTGCGACAGTGCCGTTTCGTATGGTCCGAAATTGTAGGACCACACTCATCAGGCAACTTCAATGCTCTTCAATTAAATGAATTGAGCGCTCTCCGAAATACGTTCTACCCAGAATACAAGTATTTACATACATACATACGTACATACATACAAACATTTATTTCACGTCCCCACAGGGCTTTTCAGTGAAATATTTAACAAAATAGAATGACATGAAATAAAACAAAACAAAACAAAAAAAGGGTTCTACGTCTCTAAAAATTTAAATACAGGAAGTTAGATTAATTAAATACCTAATGATTAAACTATTTAGTACTGGCCAGCTGTGTTTTGTGATCTTATAAATTCAAATAGAGTCCATCAGAAGTCTATTTCTCATCAGTCTTAAATTGTGCTAACGATTGGCTTAACTTGATATTTTGCGGCAGAGCGTTCCAGAGAGATACTATTCTATAATAAAGAGTTCTTTGGCCAGTTGCAGATCTAAATAAAGGAATATTTAGCAACTGAGAGTTTCTACTTCAGCTGGTTGATACAGATGAGAGCTTAATAAACTGATCAGATAGATACTCCGGGACAAGGCAGTTCATGAATTTAGATGCCATAATTGGATAGCGATAGTACAGGTGTTGTTTAACTGGGAGCCACTTGAGTTGCCTGAGAATGGGAGTTTCATGGTCGTATCTCTGGCCCCCGCTAACAATCTTACAGGCCAAGTTCTTTGAATAAAGGTCGGAGGGAGTATCCTATTTTGTTTTTTAGCATTATTCTGGCTCATCATTTCTGTTTCTACTAGTAGGTTAAAAACAAAATCAAGCGTAAGGACCCGTAAGACAAAAAAGTTGAAAACTGATGCCTTCGGTTCTTGTATCCTGCAAAATTAATGCACATTGCGAACACACACTATGAATGAACCTAAGCTAACAAGGGCAAATTTTATAAAGTTCTCAAGATAAATAATTACGATAGTTTTTGAAAGATAGTGAGCTTTTTATGCCAGGCAAGGCTTTTCTCTTTAATCTGATCGCTTGATTTTTGCCCTGACCAGCTGCAGGTAAGGAATGCTTGAGCAACTCTTTCCTGCTGAGCTCGCCTAATTGAATGGTTTTCAAAGTCTCGGAAATGGCTTTCAAAGCAAAATCCTCTTTACTCCGCATATCACTGATCTGAGAAGAGCTGACTTCTACGTTGTTACGAGAAGGGACACTGTTTTCAGGAATCCACTCATCTGAATACCGTAAAGAATCAATCGGTGGCAGTTGGTTTTTCTTAACACAAAAACTATTGTGAACCCAAAGGGATGCATATTTACGATGAGATGAGCTTACCAGCGTCTTCGTTTGTGCTGAATGTATTAGCAGGTCTGTGTTTACGTCTTTCTTTAGCGCAGAAAAATTCGTTGCACTTTCATACAGTGCAGGCTGTTTCTGGTTCTTCTCTTTCCAACTATCTTCAGTTTTGCACGGCGGGTTTGGCAGAAAAGGCCAGTAATATTTTTGCACTGATTGGACTGAAGACCGAATTTTCACGTTACGACTCAGTTCACTGAAGGCCCGATCTTTCAATTTCGCACCAGATTCGTCACTCAATCTAAGACGCATTTTTGACGTTTTACCCGGCTTCATATTATCACGAGGTCTATCACGCAAAAGGAAAGGACTGCGAGTAGTACACTTCAAAGACGCACTCAATATAGTGTCGTTATTTTCCAGTTCCCTATTGGAGGATTTCAAACATCGTTTAGATTCCTGTTCTTTATTGTATTTCTTCTTCTGTTCTTCAGTCGCCATCGTCGTGTTTATGTTTATCTTCGACGTGTCTTCTTGACCATGGTTTTCTCCACGCTTTTGTTGCTTGTTGACAGCATTATCTTGCTTTTTTATCCGCTCTCTGGCCTTAGTTTTTTCATCACCCTTATTCTGTTTTTCGTGGCAAGATATTGGAAACATGAAGTCGCTTTCGTCGTCGACTGAGACCTCATTGACAACAAAGTCCAAAAAATCCGGGCCATCATCAGGGCGACGCGAAGAAGTGACACGACTTTCCATCGTCATGTACACATAAAAATAGTGATATCCATCGCCCGTTTAAGAGTAGCCAGACATCTTGAACCAATCACAATGCGAATGCCCCGTTAATATGTTTTACTGAATGTTGATTCTCTTCGTTAGTTTGAAAAGCGAAGAAAATTAGGATGTAAAGTAACAATACCGACACCTGCTTTTTATTGGTTAACAACAAGGCATTTAATTTTATGGGTATCATCACAGCGGAAAAGATGAGTTGAAGACCAGTGCAGCCTTCAATAGTAAGCCGTTTAACAAGACGAATATGTAACAAGTGTCATTTTTGGTTGCTTTTAGTTTAATCGATATTTTTGAAACAAATTTAATTACGAAAGAGAAAATAATCAAGATGTTTATACCAGCATATAAATAAAAAACTACACATAACTACTATAATTAACTAACAGTATATAACTAAAATAAAGGAGTAGACGATATTACAAAAAATAAACAGAAGGTAAACAGACTTTTCATGTTATTTGTAGATTCTGGCTATAACCAATTACTAATGAAATCCTGTTGATATTTGTTGAAGTCATAATTTGAATTGATCAACAGCATTGCTGACTCAGTAACAGAGAGGAGAAGTGTGACATCACGTTACCATGGAAGCACTATTTCTGGATGACAACAGGCAGAACGGCAGAAAAAAATGGCTGCAGTCACATCCAATATCTGCGACGTAAATAAAGTTTAACTTAAGTTAGTGTCAAGTCACGTGATGTCATACCTAACTGTAGTTAGTGCTTTCGGTCGACATTGCGGACACGCAGTTAACAACAGTTAGTTCTAATTAGCCTATGTAAATGTTTTGTTTGTTGTTTTTGGTTTCCCCCTCGCTTCCCGCTTGGTTTTTATTTTGCTTATTTATATATGCCCATCTCGCACGTGCGAAAAGAAGTGTCACATTCCGATTGGTTGTTTGTTTGTAAACTTAAGACTAACCCACGAACCCTGCTTGGGTATAACTATAGTTAGTCTGTATTGTTTTGGATCACCAAGGCGTAAATTTTCTAACTATAGTTAGAGCGAACAGAGAAGCGGTCACTTTACCGAAATAGCTAACTATAATTATCCCCGTCTCTTAAAATTAACTATAGTTAGTAGCCCAGATGTGACCGCAGCCAATATGTTTATTTTAACAAACAACAACTTTGCAGGTGCATCACGCCATTTTGTGCATTTCTTTGCCGTCGTTGCACTACTACGACATGAAACTTCCTATTTTCACGAGCCCGCTTTATGGAGTAGGTGAACACAACACAACAATTGTCGCTCTCTTTTTCTAAACTTAGATAACGATAGATACGGTCCCAAAGAAAATTTCGCCAGGAGTTGCCAAATTAAATGAAATTGAATAAGATCGGTTAAGTTTGAAATAGTTCGAATAGACTTTTAAGTGACTTTATCGGTTTGTTGTTATCCAAAAATTTTGCGACCTTGGTAACCTGACGTAACGACTTCTCCTTTCTATTGATTTTGCAAAAAAGTACATTATTTGTTTCTGAGAAAACAAAATGAACAGAAAAAATGATTCAATAGGAAAGCTACTGTGTTTACCCACAATAACTAACCTTCGGCCTGTTGGCTAAGCGTGCCTTTTGTGTGCCTTAGCAGTGACAGAATCTAATAAGCCTGGTAAAACGGTAACTACAGCCGAGTGGAAAGGACTGTGAAGCATCAAAAAAAGACAAACTAATATAAAATACAAACAAACAAACAAGAGAAAGTAAAAAGTTTCTATAAGATATATATTTGGCATAATTAAATGACTATAACAAAACAAGACACGTCACCAACTGTCAGTTGGAACAACCCAAAGGATCAGAAGATGGATCACACCCCGGGGAGAACATTTCGGTCGATTTAGGATAGGTCAAGTGTGCTGTGAGGGAGGGAATAACAATAAAATACCCTTTTAAAGCGAAGAAAACACAAAAAGGACACTTTCATGTGAGTGACGACCAACTCAAAATGGTTTCAATACGAATTTTTTCTTTTTTTTTGCATGGACATTCATAAAGCATAGCATCAGCTAAATCTAGTTGAATTGTTTTGTTAGTGCACTAAACAAAAACTAAAAATAGCGTAGATTCTTTGTTAATTAGGCATGCATATTTAAAGCTTTAAAACTCTAATCACCGCTGCACTGGACTCAGTAGAGGATGTTAGCATCAACAACGAGTACGAGTACGAGAACGACTTCAAGCCGTACTCGTACTCGAAGTGGTTTTCTCAGCTTGTTAGCGATGACACCGAGTTCGAGTTTATAGAAAATAAAATTATGGGATTCCGCATGACTGGGCGCCAAATTTGAGTCGAGGTAGCGCTTCCACAACAATTTCGAAAACAAAAAATGACTCTAAAAAACGTTCAAGACTGCTTGTTACTCAGTGTTTTGAGAGCCCGACGGTCTATCCTCCAGTTTTCAAAGGAAAATCGATTTTTCGAGGTAACTCGAAGGATGGTTAGTCGCGGTCTTAAAACACACTAAAACCCATTAAATTCAACACAACAACCACACTGGATAAACAAGTAAGTATTCTTTATTGATATCTTCGACTGTTGGGATATTTTCGACCAAATAATGGCAATTTTCGGGGTTATTTCGTGAGCCTGTGAGGCCTGTGGAGAGACATGAAACTTTCCCGGGTAAATGCAAATTTACTCTGTGTAGGAAATATCGCGTTCGGTTGCTTTTCCCCGACTTCAAAAGCAGTATTTTACATAAAACATACTAGGGTATCTAAAAGATAGTAATGCTGCGGCACATTCTGTTGATACTGGCATTAGTTAGGCAGTGAGACTTAAAAGAATCAAAAATGACATTGAATGTCCTATTTACATGTTGGAAAGTACTAGAATAATTACTATCAGTCTATAGAAAGAACTCGTGGGAACGTTGTTTAGAAAATGATCAAGTGGTTATCAACTCTGGCGGGTTTTCGCACAGTAAATTGTAGGAAATAATAGAAAATCAGATTGTTTATCCATATATTTAATATGCGGTGCACGATATTTTTATGGAAACACAATACTTTTCTTGCTGTTTGTTGCACTTTATTAAGTAACAGTTATTTAGCTATATATTTATAAAAAACAACAACACAAAAAACAGAAAAAAAAAAAAGCAATTAATAATTCGGTAGGACTCGAACCCGGCACCTTCGACTCGACGCGACTACACCTAACCACTTCATTCCGAAATCGTTAGGAAAAGTCTTTCATTTTATTCCTTTTCCATGAAACTTCCGCCGGCAAGATGATCGCCAGCCGCATTAACCGAACTATTAACTGTGAAAAAGCAATGTAAACGCATATTCCATGGCAATGAATGAATGAAAGAACATAATTATGCTTTTCAAAACGCCGATACACGTCCTCGTCTGCAAAGTAGGACACAAAACATATGTTTCGTTATCTCGATTTCCGCTGTTATTTTGAAGCGAATGGTCAAAATCAAATCCATTTTCGGCTCATACAGTTTCTTAAGAATAGCATTGCATGACATTTTCTCACTTTCACATCACCTCCTAGCAAGCTGGAATTTGTATATCCCCCGTGTTGCGGAGTCGAAGAGCAAATGCTCATCTTCTCGTCAGGTTTAACACCTGGACGAGTCAAAGGCTCTTGAATTGAAATCCAATCCCCAAGTTAACCATCGTACTCATCTGAAAGACTCCTGCGTGTCTTAAAATTTGGTTAAGACTTCTAACCGTGCTGTAGAAAATTTGGCACAAAGAAAACTCTAAGTCTGAGCAGCGAACGATGCACTCTCTCACCCACCGAACTTTCCCGTGTTTTTATTTGAGTTGTTCGTGGCGCAATGCACTCTGGTTAAATGCAATGCATTGTGGTAAAAAATGTGGTTAAATGCAATGCATTGTGGTAAAAAGTGATGAATTCGAGAATTCGTCGCCCCTTATATATTTCCTTTAAATCCTGATTATGTTGCTGCTCGCTCCCTTCGGTCGCTGCGCAGCAAATATAAGGAATGTTTAAGATGATAAAGAGAGGCTAGAAACGAAAAGAAACTACATTAAACGATCGGAATTTACCTTTGAAAACCAGCTCTTCCCAGTCGTTCTACCCACTTCGAGTATTTGGTGAGAACTCGTCGTAGTGCAACTTGACAGGACGACTTGAAAACGTGGAGATGCGCAGTACGCAAAATCGCTGATCTCGTTTTAGAACTCGTACTCGTTGTCGATGCTAACATCCTCTAGAGTACTCTGAAGATGACACGAAGCGTGGGTTACCGGCGTTACCTGGGATATTTCCTACCAATCGTGTATCTGATGAACCGTGTTCAATCAGAGTGTTCAATATAATACTCGGTATTGGCGTTAAACAAAAGAATCCCCGCCAAGCAGTATTACGTCTTCGGTTTCTATGGGTGCTATTAAAAAGGGTTGACGTGACGTACATATACAAGATAATTGGTTAGGGTCCCTCAGACGAACAAGATAACAAGATACATCATCCTGTAAACTCAATCATTATTTTTACGACTTCATCACAGAACAGGCCGAGAAATACGTTGAAACAAACAAATCTGCTTGATAGATCTTGGGTAACCTCTACAACACGAAAAAAGCTTGGTGTAACAAGGTCATCTCACTCTCAACGGAAAAATTGCCAAGCAACGACTTCTAAGAATGACAGTTCAAGAGTTAATTTATTACAATTTACACAATCATTTAGGAAATATTTAGGAAAGCCATTAATCAGAGAAGGCTTATTCATTTATCAAATAATATTTTTCTCGGATGCCATTTGTTTCAAAATTAGTAAAATCTCGGCATTCATTCTTAACAGTGCCAATCAAAAGAATGACTTGGTAGTCTTCAGTGAAATGCAGATATTTGTATTATTGTATTTTGTTTTATATACGTTAGTAAATTCCAAACCCATGTGACTAAATTCCAATTTTTTTCTCTTTGTCTGCGTTTACTCTCCTTTAGAAGGACCAAGTGCACAATTTCTTAATTAGGACAAGACAATGTCGAGAAATAAGGCTTTTACATCCGAATCACCTCGTTTAGGGAACAATCAAGAACGGATTATAACGATTTCAATATCGCTATAATAAACTTGAGGGTCGACAACCGCGTGACGTGACACACACTCATCAAAACTGGTCCACATTTTCACTCCTAGTTGTTTTGATTGGTATTTCAACCTTTTTGAAAGAAGTGTAAAAATTAATCCATCCAAAAACTGCTGCTGAAGGTGTTAACGAATGCAAAGATAATCCGTTGCTAAGAAACAGTCAAAATACCTTTTCGTACAATCTCATGCAAATTACTAGTCGGAAAAATGGCCCGCTGTTAGAAAGGTTGTGTTGGTTACGATGGAGTTCAACTTCAACTCAGCTAAGAACAATATCTGCTCATTGACGCTCTAGATGATAAAGGAAAGAAAAATTGACGATGACAAGGGATGAGTATCGTGGTTACAAGAAAATGCTACAATTCATTACAGCGGCTGCATCGGCTACTGCAGAGCTGCCCGCCAGCGAGTAGAGCTGTCTCTTGACTTGAGCTTAAGTTCTAATTTATATTTCCGTTGCCGAAATTATTTTTACAAACTAGAGATTTAGACACTGATAAATACTAATTTTGAAGTGACGACAGTCACAGTTTTAACGGCGAATTGGACCGGTATTACACTAGCTACGCTGGTAAGGTTTAACTGAATTATATCTCGGCCACGTACGATGAGTGCTGCTGATAAATGCGACACAGGAACGCTGCTGTTGCCGTTTCTGGATGAATCAGGCTGGATACATGAACTGAGAATTGTTATCTACCTGATAGCATTATTATGGTGCTTTATGGGAGTTGCAATCATCGCTGATGTTTTTATGTGTTCTATCGAAACGATTACAAGTAAAACAAAGCAGGTCAAGGTGGCTAGGCAAGACAGTGATGAAATGGACGTGGTCGAAGTTCGAGTCTGGAATGATACAGTGGCTAACTTGACGTTGATGGCTTTAGGGTCATCTGCCCCAGAGATCTTACTAGCCATCTTTGAGATCGTTTTAATCAACGGCTTTAATTCAGGAGAATTAGGCCCAAGCACGATTGTTGGTTCTGCGGCGTTTAATCTTCTTGTAATCACAGGAGTGTGTATTATGACAGTACCTATGCACGAGCAGCGAAAGATAAAAGCCGTTAAAGTGTTCGCTGTAACTGCAACGTTCTCTATTTTAGCCTACGTTTGGCTTTACATCGCTTTGAGCGTGAGTTCTAAAAATGAGATCGAACTTTGGGAGGCAATTTTTACTTTTTTGTTGTTTCCTATTCTGGTTGTTATCGCTTATATTGCCGACAAAGATTACTGCTCAGGAAAAGTTTCACCGCAAGACGCAGGAGTACTTGAACTGGGTATGTGAATCTAATAATATTTCCACTTGTATCCGTATAAAGTTTCGGCACTTATGCTATATATAGGAAAACATGTTTACTAATTGAACTCACGTACACACTGTACGTGATAAGATTATAAATGGCCTTGATTTCGCTGATTGCGATTTGTATTTTCTTGGACACGAAACAATATTTTTAAATAATTTGGAATCTGTTTTTTAAAATGCCTATATGAGTCGATCGCTTTGAAAGTGTATATAAAATTAGAGTAGACACGTTGCTATGCTATATTAATGATTACCAGATTGGCGTTTTGAGGTTAAATAAGTGGGAATTTTTTTACTACATTGTGTTCGTAAGTTTCACATATGTACGTTCTTTAAAGATAGAAAGCACAATCGAACTGGTTGCCAAGATTTTGTGCTAAAAACAATAAGTGGAAATCGTTTATTCAGCTGTCACATGGTAATAAATAAACAAATCATTCCAAAAACGTGTCAGATAATTTCTAAAATGCTGTTAAGGATCCTGAGCAGTACTGTTCCAGACTCTACGGCATTCCAAGTTTCATTTGGGCCAAATGCACCCTGTTTTTCACACATTTTCAAATGGAATGAAATTGGCTGCTAGAACTTTGTATCTGTGGGTATCAATAATTAAAATCTTTCATCAAAGCAGGTGAAAGCTTAAATAATTATTTCTGTAGATCTACAATATCACAATACAAACAATTTTTGTTGAAAAGGCAAACCTGTGAACAAACAAAAAGGTGAAAATGGAATGTATTTCAGTAATGCATGAAACCAGTTTTTATTTTTAACTCTAGTTATTAAATGAAAAAAGTTCTATAAAGATATAAAATACATGCATCAGACATAATAGCACACTTGCATAATAATAATTTCCACACCTGGCTAAAAAATCACAGTTTGTTGGCATCAAATTTGCCCACATCCAACCAAATCTTAACTGTGGTCAGACACGATGACCAGACCTGAAATCAAATGTACTATAGCCTACTATCATTTTGCTTTTAGGAAAAATGCTTCCTGCCCCCCTCTCCCCCTCCTTCATATGAAGCTAAAATTCAATAATTGTTAAGTTTTGCCATTATGGNATCACAGTTTGTTGGCATCAAATTTGCCCACATCCAACCAAATCTTAACTGTGGTCAGACACGATGACCAGACCTGAAATCAAATGTACTATAGCCTACTATCATTTTGCTTTTAGGAAAAATGCTTCCTGCCCCCCTCTCCCCCTCCTTCATATGAAGCTAAAATTCAATAATTGTTAAGTTTTGCCATTATGGAGTTAAAAGTAAAGATCTGTGGTAGTTGCAGCCTGACTTTATTAAGCATGCTGTTTGTATACATGTCCTTATGATAATTTACTTAACTACATTCCTTTGGTACAAAGTTTGTATCATTATGTCAGTTAATCTATTTTATGCTTTTGGATTATATCTTAAAAAAGAAATGGTTTTGAGGGGAAATTTAGTTTCACTTTGACTTTAACATTGCAATGTAAGCGTAAAAACTACATTTAATTTTTCTCAATAACTGTGCGCATTTCCTCCGAAAATGTTTACAACTGGTATAGGATTTACAGAAGCTCCAACCAATTGTCACTGGACCAATTGTGGAATTGCACACATAACCACATTTCCAGCAATAACAACTTGCCATCTGTCTCCTCAAACATTTGAAAGTCAATATAGATTTTGTAAGAGTTGTACTAGTGTCTGCATTATCAGGCATGACCAATGGGAAAATAAGAATAAGAACTACATGTATAACAGTTTATTTTAATTTTTCAAAATTATTTTAATCATCCTGCAATCAGTTAGTCACCTCCAAATTGAAATTGAAAATTTAAGGAGAAATTGGGAATTTAAATTGGTAATAAAAAGAAGACACACAAAATTAAACAAACAAACAAGCAAATAAAGTATGTACTTGTGCACGTCAAAACACAAAAGATACTTAAAGGAATAGGTCAGTGTGTTCCTCTTTGAGGTATTGGATTGAAAAAAGACATTTTGTAAGATATCAGTATAAATTATATAGGAATCGGTACAATTACTAACCATGGCTGAATTGAACTCTTGCAAAAATAAATAATTTATAGTCTTGGTTTCAAGAGTTATAATTTGGATGTGTGGGAGCCGGCAGCGATTTTCTGCACACATGGACAGAGGACAATGAATCTGTTAAGTGTCAATGCCATTTTTGCAAGTTAATTATAGAAAAGTACATGAGTACATAAGAAAGACAGATTCCCCCTTATCCGCACTGTGATAAATATTCCTTGAATGCAGTTAACTTACATAAACGATGTGACTTGAAATCTTTGATTAGCATATCACACTAAGAAATCACATTTGTATTTCTTCATAATAATAGCTGAGGGTACAAAAGCATTGAAGACACCAACAGAAGACCCAGAAGTTGAAAGTTTTATCAAGGTACAATAAAAACCTAGATCAAGATACATATATCAACAAATAATTGTTTGAGTCCAATACAAAAAAACTCTTGGTATAGCAAAAATAAACTTTGTTAGATATGTTTAATTTACCACATTATGTTCCTTGTGAACTCATGTGAATTCACATTAAAATGTTTGAACTTGTGTGTTACTTTTGTATGAAACTGTTGCCACATCGTTCAACTATTGCTGCAGCTCTCTAACTGTCAAACCGTTTGTCTCTGGCTAATTACTTTACGTCTAGAAATGTTTTAAAAATTAATAAATTTTAAATGCCAAATAATGGAATTGTTAGTCTCCCTGAAATGACATGAAAATCTGGGCTGAACCAAATACCCCACCCTTCACCCCACCCCCAGGTACCACGGGTTTTTTCCTTACCTCATTCCTGATAGTTCGGAAGCCGGAACACAGAATATATATATGTATATCAAACTATGTTTATCTTATTGTAGGTCTTTCGAACTGATACAGACCTTTGAAGCCAGGCTAGTTAAAAGTTGTATGAACTTCCCTCCCATCCCTCCGGTGTACTCTCAAAACAACCCTACATCTCGATCCAGACCTTGGCCCATTCTATATTATTCTAGACTGGGCAAGCGCTGGTCTTAAGCGTATGTAGCGCAGATAAGACCGACCAATGAATGATTCTGTACGTTTTATTTGCGATATTTCCTGTTTTTAAACATTGATTTTGTCATTTAACTGTGCCAACGACTGAAATAAAGAACCTGTTGTTTCAATTTCTTCAACGTGATTTAGGAATAACTTCATGGCTGCCGCCATCAGGTAACCCAATTTTTCCTAAGGCTTCAACTGACAATTATTTTTCGCGCTACCACCGCCGGCATACCTTGGAGTTAATCCAATAATTATGCTTTTAAATGTTACTGAATAAATGATAACAAGGAAGTCTACAGAAAAGCAAAGAATTCTTGCTTATTCAAGCTTAGCAATATAAATGAGCTTCATATATCTAACATACCTTACTCATCAGTCATAAGAAATAGTTTTATAAGAATTTCAATGCAAAAAAAACTGGCTTAAGCTAACTGACACACCTGTAAGTGAGATTCGCATCAAAATTTCCATGAAGTGTTTACAGAAAGGATATAGAATATCTTCCGTTTTAGCCTGAGGATTGCGCCCAAGGAACAAAAACGATCAATGTCGGTCGGGCCTGGTGTGACGGCAAGCCCCGGTTCAATCGGTCAGCAGACTGTCTCAGAGACCGCGAATCTTTAGATATGGCGATATGGCATGATATGGGGAACGAAGCAAACAAAGTGAGCGAAAGGATTTTCAATATGCAAGCGTTGAGTTGTGTGGGTTTATCGCGCTGGTTTTTGTTTTTATTTTTTGCTTCGTTCCACATATTTTAGAGTAAAAGGGAGACTCTGACGGTGGTGTACCTGTTAACAGTCCGGGATATCCCTAAATTTAAGGACAGGGCGAACTGGTCACGCGACACTTTTCAACCAATGAGAAGGCGCGCTTGTGTTTATCAACAAACAAATCAAAACATCGCCCCAGTGATCAAAAATTTTCAAAACGATTCTTCGGTTAATCTCGCCGCAAAAACCAAATTTGGTGGCTGTTGTTTAACTAATGAAATGTTGTTTTTGTTTGCTTGTGTGTTTTTTAATATTTATAGGAGGTTAGCCGTAACCCGGATCTCAGTGAAGATGACGCTGCTATGCTTGTGGCAGCTCATATAAAATCCAAACAACCCAAAAATTACGGCTACTATCGCGTCGGCGCAATACGAAATATAGGAGGCAGTCATAAACTGAGACCAAAAATGGATTCCAAACTTAGAGTGGTAAGCAGATGGGGAAATTATTTCATTTCAGTATTGACTCGGACAGCTTTATCACTAGTTTGAATTTATTTCTTCAAAGTAAGCCATGCGCAAGACCAGGTATCTATGGTCACCTTAATGGTCACTTATGAATACAACACTGAGCATGCGCAACAGGCTCAGGGGTGATCAATGGAGCACNCCCGGTTCAATCGGTCAGCAGACTGTCTCAGAGACCGCGAATCTTTAGATATGGCGATATGGCATGATATGGGGAACGAAGCAAACAAAGTGAGCGAAAGGATTTTCAATATGCAAGCGTTGAGTTGTGTGGGTTTATCGCGCTGGTTTTTGTTTTTATTTTTTGCTTCGTTCCACATATTTTAGAGTAAAAGGGAGACTCTGACGGTGGTGTACCTGTTAACAGTCCGGGATATCCCTAAATTTAAGGACAGGGCGAACTGGTCACGCGACACTTTTCAACCAATGAGAAGGCGCGCTTGTGTTTATCAACAAACAAATCAAAACATCGCCCCAGTGATCAAAAATTTTCAAAACGATTCTTCGGTTAATCTCGCCGCAAAAACCAAATTTGGTGGCTGTTGTTTAACTAATGAAATGTTGTTTTTGTTTGCTTGTGTGTTTTTTAATATTTATAGGAGGTTAGCCGTAACCCGGATCTCAGTGAAGATGACGCTGCTATGCTTGTGGCAGCTCATATAAAATCCAAACAACCCAAAAATTACGGCTACTATCGCGTCGGCGCAATACGAAATATAGGAGGCAGTCATAAACTGAGACCAAAAATGGATTCCAAACTTAGAGTGGTAAGCAGATGGGGAAATTATTTCATTTCAGTATTGACTCGGACAGCTTTATCACTAGTTTGAATTTATTTCTTCAAAGTAAGCCATGCGCAAGACCAGGTATCTATGGTCACCTTAATGGTCACTTATGAATACAACACTGAGCATGCGCAACAGGCTCAGGGGTGATCAATGGAGCACTCAATTACGGCACTTTTAACAAATATCTTTCAGTTAATAAGGATAGAATTATGAAACTTATCCGTGAAATTTTGTATACTTAAAAAATAACATTAAAGTTGGGAGATTTTCTGTTTTTTACACTGTTTATTTTCATCAAGAGCCATTGTGGCTCTTGTTTTCATTTGATAACGGAGTGTTAAAAATTATAAAGATTGTACGGTATCTGTACTCTGAGTGCCTAGATTATCATCCTCTCCTGCTGCTGGTCTGATAACACAAATGCAATGTTGTTCAATCTGTAGATTTACGAGGAGTTATCTGAAGTTGGGTTTTCATCTTCTGGTGCTTCAGTCATAATGAGTCATGCCTTAGGTAGGTTCACCTCTCCGGCTTACTACTGACCCTGCGATGTAAGTACAGTATATGCATCTCCTATGAACAATTCCGAGCACAAAAAGTATTACCTTATTATGGGAAATTGACGATGCATTAATGCATAATTTACGTCGATGTTAATTTAAATCTCACTATTTTACATCATTGTTGTTTTACAGCACCCTTATTTCAATAACAAAACCTCGTCTGCTCATAGTTCCTCTATCAACGCCTCGGAGTCACTATCTGACAGTTCTTAGTCCTTAGGAATTGAGTTCAAAATGTCTTTCGACTGGTCTTCGTATTGATCCGTTTCCGCGAGAGGATAGCTAACTTCTTCGGTCTTTCTTCTTCATGGAAATGCTGCTTTTTTTTCTTTTAGATATGTATGTTGCGAAGTTTGTATTGCAGCAAATTCGCGTGAAATGAAAAGTTAGGCGCACATTGTTTTCGAAAATTTCTCGTAATTTGATGTATGTAAACCAAACTTTTGGAAAATTCGCGATAATTCTCTGTAACGCAAATTTTCTTCACGTTGTCAATGTGCATCGGTAATTCCAAATAATGAAGTAACACGCTGCTTTTATTTTTAGCACGTTGCCTGCATGAAAGAAAAACAACGCTTAAATTAAACGGTTAACCACCAGTGGTCGGTTGATCCTCTGTGATAAATAAACATACACATTATGCACAACAGACAATTTCATATAAATTCTTCCAGTTTTAATAACCAGTTAGTAAGAATAATATCTCTGTCAGTCTTAAAATTTCTGCTTTCAGTTCTAAAATTTCTTGTGTTTTTTTGTTGCTTCAGCGGGAAAAATACAGCCGGCTCGAGTTGAGTTTGCTGCTCCTAAGTGTGCCGTTCTTGAAAGTGATAAAATTGTCAGGATTGGAGTGAAACGAACTGGCAACACTAAACTAGCCACAAGTGTAAAGTAAGTGTGTTAATGCCGAGCATAAATATTGATCCAGTTTTCAGTCCCTCGATCCCAAACCAAAGTTCAAGAAAACATGAAATTTGTCGTTGTGAATGGGTTAGCTTGACTTAACCCTAACCCTAATTCATTCCCAACGATCTTCATACAGTAAATAAATTAAAGCTTTTTACAGTTTCCAAGCCATTGTAACGATATGGTGATGGCATGGGTGGCTGATCGCGTACATTGCGTCAGAATTCGCAATATTAAAATTCACCTTGACTAAAATTCCGTTTTAGTTATGAAACTATTAATGGCACAGCTCTGGCTGGATCAGATTACGAGGCAAAGAAAGATGTGCTTGTCTTCAAACCTGGAGAAACGTTAAAACATGTGGACATCACAATTATTGATGACGACGAATGGGAAGAGAACGAGGTGTTCTTTGTGAAAGTATCAAGGTTTGATTACAAAGACGACACAGTGGAAATCGGAGAACAAAGTATTACAGAAGTCACTATTATAAATGACGATGGTAAGAAAACAGAGAATTAGTCAGGTCTGTAGGTGCGGGTACTGGGGAGAGGATGTAATCTGGCCGGTGCGCAATCACATGGTCATGGCGACTTTAAAGTCGCAATAAAACGTGATCTGGTCAGTGCAAATTGTATTTGGCACAGGTAAGACTCGAGTGGCAATAAAACAAGTTCTGCCAATCTGTATAACAACCGCCAAAATATACTTGGGGTCCATACCAGAGGGTTTCTTGTACAGCGCAAGATGACAGACACCAAAGAGTTTCTTCAGTAATTCCTGCACCTAAAGGAAGAGTCACTAACAGTTATCTTAATAAGAGTGCGCCCGGGTCAATCAAAATCAGGGCGGATAATCCTTCCTTTCCGTTTGTTCATCACTTAATTTACGTCAATGGATGCTCATTCTGGATATTTGCTCATTTTAAATTATCATCATTATCATCATCATCATCATCATCATCATCATCACTATATTATTATTATTATTACATACCTTTATTATCTTATTCATCATCACGGAGATCAAACGAGGATTTGTCATTGCATGACATTTTAGCAACATCCCAACATAGGATAAAAATAATATTTGCTCCCTCCATGTTATTGTCCCTCGTTTGAACAAGGCTTTTCGATGATGTGTTAGATCTAACAGAACACAGTGTAAAGGTTGTGAACCGGAATTTGGCTGATAGTCAGTTCTTGGACCAACAGTTTTTAATTGTTTTGCAACAGTGAAAAGTAGTTCGAATCCTGGATAAATGAATAATCTGCCTTCTGGTTTCTGGTTAGTGGCTGCTATGTCCAAGCTGTATTTTCTGCTACTAACGCTTGATAAATGCTATTAGTCTTTTTCTATTTAATAAAGCACTTCTTGTGTGATTAAATCATTAGAACCTGGAACCTTTTCGCTGGAGAATCCAAGCTACGTTATAAAAGAAAGTATTGGCAAAGCCTTTATCAAAGTTGAACGGACTAATGGAACAGATGGGAAGGTAGAGGTTACATGGAAAACTACAGATAAAACAGCAGTGAACGGCAAGGATTACCATGGAGGGACTGGCGCCCTAATTTTTGAGCATGGCGAGCAAGTAAAGCACATTGTTATAGACATTATTGACGACAAAGACTTTGAAAAGGACGAGACGTTTACAGTAGAGCTCACGGGCACCTCGGATGGAGCCAGTCTTGGACATATTAAGAGTGCGGCAGTCACTATCGTCAATGATGACGGTATGGTTATGTTGTAACAACTCTATCTGTTTCTCTTTAGCAAGGCGCGCCACTGATCCTTTATTTTGCACTATTCAATGCTTGAAAGAGACTCTGCTTGAGCGGTCAACTACTTTATTTATTACNCAAAGAGTTTCTTCAGTAATTCCTTCACCTAAAGGAAGAGTCGCTAACAGTTATCTTCATAAGAGTGCGCCCGGGTCAATCAAAATCAGGGCGGATAATCCTTCCTTTCCGTTTGTTCATCACTTAATTTACGTCAATGGATGCTCATTCTGGATATTTGCTCATTTTAAATTATCATCATTATCATCATCATCATCATCATCACAAATTATTATTATTATTACATACCTTTATTATCTTATTCATCATCACGGAGATCAAACGAGGATTTGTCATTGCACGACATTTTAGCAACATCCCAACATAGGATAAAATTAATATTTGCTCCCTCCATGTTATTGTCCCTAGTTTGAACAAGGCTTTTCGATGATGTGTTAGATCTAACAGAACACAGTGCAAAGGTTGTGAACCAGAATTTGGCTGATAGTCAGTTCTTGGACCAACAGTTTTTAATTGTTTTGCAACAGTGAAAATTAAGCTAAATTAGTTCGAATCCTGGGTAAATGAATAATCTGCCCTCTGGTTTCTGGTTAATGGCTATGTCCAAGCTGTATTTTCTGCTACTAACGCTTGATAAATGCTATTAGTCTTTTTCTATTTAATAAAGCACTTCTTTTGTGATTAAATCATTAGAACCTGGAACCTTTTCGCTGGAGAATCCAAGCTACGTTATAAAAGAAAGTATTGGCAAAGCCTTTATCAAAGTTGAACGGACTAATGGAACAGATGGGAAAGTAGAGGTTACATGGAAAACTACAGATAAAACAGCAGTGAACGGCAAGGATTACCATGGAGGGACTGGCGCCCTAATTTTTGAGCATGGCGAGCAAGTAAAGCACATTGTTATAGACATTATTGACGACAAAGACTTTGAAAAGGACGAGACGTTTACAGTAGAGCTCACGGGCACCTCGGATGGAGCCAGTCTTGGACATATTAAGAGTGCGGCAGTCACTATCGTCAATGATGACGGTATGGTTATGTTGTAACAACTCTATCTGTTTCTCTTTAGCAAGGCGCGCCACTGATCCTTTATTTTGCACTATTCAATGCTTGAAAGAGACTCTGCTTGAGCGGTCAACTACTTTATTTATTACTACGGCCTTTCTTGGGATGGGTTTTCATGGAATTCTGGAGCTAGTAGGTCAAATGTTTTTCGAATTAAAATACGAAGACATTGTCGCCATTATTAATCCAACAAATCTGTTCTCGTTCGGACTGTTTCAGTGAATAAATTTTTTAACCAAAAGAAGGTATTTATAAGTATCCAAGGTTTTCAGGCACTTTACAAAAGTGACGGCTATATTTTTCTTAATTATTATTGTTTCTCAACACGTAAAATGAGGCAAACCAGGCCTTTATGTTGTGTTCATTATAACCTACTAGATATTTTTTTTCTGTTCAGAGTATCGCCGCTTGTTTGACCGTGTGGTAGCATTGACACATTTAAATCTTCGCCGTTTGGATCTCGGATCCGAAACATGGGGCGCTCAGTTTAGAGAAGCCATGTCAGTAAATGGGGGAGATATAGAAAACGCCACTACACTTGATTACGTCATGCACTTTCTCACCTTTGCTTGGAAGGTATGTTCAACACTTTTCCTTTCCTTTACATGATTCTAAAGAAATAAACAATGGCATCGACCCACCCGGCACCAGTTTCTTCAGCCTCAGTGTCTTTCAAATTTCTGTAAAACAATGATAGCTTTCCAGGGTAAATGGCCATTGTATTTTTGACACCTAAGAGGATAAAAAAAAAATGCTCAAATAGGATATTTAAGGGCCTGTTTACATGAAGGTGGGGGACCCCAGGTAGGTGGGGTAACCCGCCTGTCCATATAATCTCTCATTTTAATTTTATCACGTTTACTTGATAGGTGGGGTGACCCGCCACATGTTACCTCACCTATCTGGGGTCCCCCACCTCCATGTAAACAGGCACTAAATGTACCCTGTGTAAATCATATATTTTGAGGGGTTTATTAGTTTACTAGTTACAGTCAAACCAGGTCAAGCGTTCCCGTCGCTAACAAACTAATGAATTCATTAATGCAAACATGATTTCGTTTGTTGATTCACTAATCCATTCATAATATGAATAACCCAACAGTCAAATTGGACCTCGATACAATAATGAAATATTGATTTGGTTTATGAACAAAAACTACCTGTTCTTTATTCTCGTCTGTTGTGTTCAATCGTATTTGCTTCCCCTTTCCTGCCGTTAACGATTGCGTTTTTCATTGCCTTTAATCAAAATAACAGCTAGAATAGACAGACCGCAAACGCAAAGAAACTGACAAAGGCCGAGGATCGAAATACACCAATCACCGTTCATACACTGACTTCAGTTTTACCGTAGTGTTTTCTAAGAGGCCAGGTCTGTTGCACTGATTACTGGCAGCGAAATGGCGTACATGTAACAGTTTGTTTGGGTTTGAACTTCAGAACTCGCCCACACTCGACTCTTAGAAAAAAAGAAGAAAAACAAAATTCTGAGGTCGACTTGTGGAAATTGTAGTTTTTCAAAAAACAGTAATCGAAGCAATATTCGATTATTGAATCGAGGCTAAATATGAATATTGGATTGTTCATTTTATGAATGTATTATTGAGTCAACAAACGAAATCATTTTTTCGTTAATGAATTCATTAGTTCCTTAGCGACGGGAACGCTTGACCTGGTTTGACTGTAATAGTTTTATGTCATCTCATTGTTATCAGGTAATCTTTGCAATATGTCCTCCTTGCACTTGGCTGGGTGGCTGGCTTTCCTTCGGTGTCGCTTTAGGCATGATCGGACTTATCACAGTCATTGTTGGTGATCTTGCTACAATATTTGGCTGCCTTATTGGACTAAAGAACGAAGTGACAGCCATTACGTTTGTAGCACTTGGTACCAGCCTGCCGGATTTATTTGCGAGCAAGAATGCGGCTGTTAATGAAAAGTACGCTGATGCTGCTGTCGGAAACGTGACTGGAAGCAACTCTGTGAATGTCTTCTTGGGCCTGGGAACGCCTTGGGTCATAGCTTGTATTTATCATACTGTCAAGGTAACGTTTTCGGGAAACTTAGCTGGCGTTTTGTTCAACTAAGTTTTTGCCCCTACTATCTCTTTGAAAATAACTAAGGCCTTTGCAAAAGTTCACATCTTTCCCCCAAGTACAATTGAAACCAGATGTGAGAGTTCACTGAAGTATTCGGCTTTTCAATTCCTCTCGTGCTCTACTCTTAGGTTCGTTGTCACCCGTTGTGACAAAAGCCGTTGGAATATAAACAGGTCGCGCGCGAGGACGCTCCCCAGTTTTCCACCTACCTCTAGACTTCCCCTGGTACAATGCGTTTTCCAGTTAAATTTTTCCGAGGAAATACAGCGTGCGTGGGGTACGTTTATCACGACAAGATAGGGTGCAAGGAGGAGGCAGCAGTCAGCTTTGAAAACGCATGAATTATACGTATCGACTGCTCCGTTAATCATCTAAATCTTTATTTTCAGGGCACAAAGTTCACAGTGGACGCAGGATCTTTATCGATAAGTGTTGTGACGTACAGCATATGCGCGGTCCTTTGTGTCAGCCTCCTAATGGTGCGTCGGTACACCAAGGCCATGGGCCGCGCAGAACTCGGCGGGCCAAGTACAACGAAGTACGCGTCAGGTTTCTTTCTGGTAGTCCTGTGGCTTATTTATGTTCTTATATCATCCTTAGTTGCCTATGAAAAAGTTACATTTTAAACGAATTCAAAAAGCAATATCATGTCCACAAAACCTTCACTGCGTTTAATTAGAGAAACTGCGGAGCAGCCATTCTGAAGGCGTTGGAGGTACATACAAAGAAAATACCACTGAATGAATATAGTCGAACATTTCACCTTGTCAACTGTAAATATGAATCCCATCGCACCTTGTCGATATTTATTTCCAAAACAATCATGCTTCTTGATAGTTCTGAGATTCTAGCAAAAATCGTTTAATTTTCCGTACTCCCTAATGCCACAGTATTTTGACAAGCAAAGAGTGTTTTACAACAGCGAGGTCAATATCTAAGTTAAATAAATCAATGAGCATGTTGGCTTAGACCCTGGTATTCACTCGAAAGCCGACAGAGTGCATGGTCAATCGACTGGAATTTTGTTCCTCAATAGTGCCCACTTTCATTGGCTAGTTAGGGAGACTTGACGTAACATAAAGTGTCCTGAAATTATATTTTACGTGTTCATCCACGCTGCTTGTTCTTGTTCACTTACGTTCCGGGGGGGACTGCAATCTGCAATCTGTAATTTATATTTTATAACTTTATTTTTCTTGATCATTCTAAAGTAATTCAGTTGATGTAGAAAACAATGCGTATAGTAATATAATGGCATATATTTAAAGCTTCCCCGTCTTTCTCGGCATATGGAAGCCGGTCCCAGTACCCCGCCCCCGTGGGCATCCATGTTGTAAAAGTGTTGGTACTTTTCGAGCCCGGAAACTGCTGCTCAAACTGCTCTAATTTTCGGTTCTTGACCACTTTTTAACAACAACCATTTGAGCCTGAAATCGAAGTAGGTCCTAATTTGGAACAACAACAAAAACGACACTTGAGAGTGACACTTGGAGACCCTAAAACTGCGCCCTACTGTTAAATTTTGTACTACTAATACTCTAAAAACTGCTCAGATCAGAGGACTTGGAGAAGGGTTTTTATTTTGCTCACAATTTTGTTTAATTTATTATAAATAAAACTGGAAGGGACCACACTCGCATTTTCTTAGATGAGGGGCTTTTTCTCTTCTTAAAGTAAGAACATGTTTAGGTTTAGTTGGCAACATGTTAGTTCTTATCACCTAGCGTGCGACTTTAGTTGCCTCTCATCCACCCTGTCGCTGGGGATTGGGATAGGCGTCTGTGTTCGCAGGCTGTAATATAAGCAGATCAGTTTTGACTGGATGTTAATAAAACGTGGAGCGGAGAACGAGCACAAAAGAATGGGAAAATGAAAAATGGGAAACCTAACTTGTACCCTAGCCCTATCAGTAACTTCATTTCCAGTTCCCATATTTTACCTTTTCCCGTCCCCCGTCGTTGCCCGTTTTGTCCATTGCACCTCTAGTTTGGCCGTTGTACCTCTCTTATGAGAGAACTTAACACTAATTTGCATAAATTTGTTGTCTATATTTGGTAACGAATCATTGGCGGCGGCTCTTTGAAAAGTCTCCTGAGCTTTAAAAAAGCGGACCAGGGAACTATTTCTTTCATCATTTGACGATGTGGTATTAGAAATTAACTGTTTTTCAACCAGATCGTTGAAATATCTTTAAAATATTCTAGAGGTGTAAAACTGTCACGAAGACGCAATCGTTATATAAGGGACTGTGCAATAATTATCAGGAGGGGGGGGGGAGGCTGAAAAACTAGAGTTATCTAGCAAAAACTTAGACATTCCCCCCCCCCCCAAAACAAAAAAAAAAAAAACTAACCCCCCCCCCCTTATTTAAAAATAACACCCCCACCCCCCCACCACCCCCCCCCCTCACACCTCACACACCCCACGAACCACCCACACCCCCCCCACACACACACAACCGAACACGCGCACACCCCACCC